TTTGAAGTTAATTCCCGGAATGAAATGCCAACAAGTAATGACAAGGTAGACAAACTGCTTTCAAGATTCAAGCACAATATTTAAGTAGTTTTTCTCATTTAAAAACCTGTTAGAATCTCTCACAGTGTTTACTATTCATCGTCAGTTGTTACGCTATGAGTTGTAGAATTAATCTTAGATCTGAGCTCACTAATAATCGAATTCTGTCCACATTTGCGTGTTTGGAGTGTCCAGTCATTTTGTTGTTTGAGGTGCGTAGAAGATGCCTATGAAGTTTCTGTAGAATTTACTACTTTTTTTGTAGATCTCTTTAAAAGCATAGTACAAAATGTTTTTACATATTTTTTTTAAAATCTTTAACGTGCTTTTTCCCTTTCAGGCAGTAATGGATATTCACAGTCAACGGACATTTCTATGAAGTAATTTGATAGTCAATCATTCTTTTTTAATTCAGATATTCTGATTGTTCTGAAGAGGAATTTTCAGTGAAATGTTCCTAACAATGTGATTTTGATAAATAAGCAAAAGTAAGTAAATGATGTTGAAGAATTTACATTATTTACCCATTGCCCTTGCATGGAGTATTGCTGACATATATGGTCTGGAGTCCCTTCTAATTGTCTCAAGATCCTTGATAAAATCCAAAGACGGATATGCAAAGTAATTGGCCCTGATCTGCCATCTCGTTTGCAGCCGCTCTCACACAGACGTGCCGTTGCCTCCCTCTGTCTTTTTTACAAATACTTTCACGGTAACTGCTCCAGTAAGCTGCTTTCGCTGGTTCCCAGACTTCATGAATTTGAGCGTTCAACTAGGCTGGCATCTCGCTCTCACACTTTCACTGTCGAAATTGTTAAATGTACCCGTCTCTTCTACTCCAATAGCTTCATGTCTCGCACTTCTCGCCTATGGAACTCCCTCTCCATTTCTTGTTTCCCTGAAAGCTATAATCTCCAACTATTCAAATTTAATATCAATCGACGTCTCCAGATGCCCTGATCTATCCCCTAACCGTCTCTTCATCCTTTCCTCTATCACTCCTCTTTGTTCTCGTTCCTATTCTGAAACCCTTTGCGTGCTTGTGGTTTCCCGCCTTGCTTGGGCTTGAATGCTTAAAAAAAAAAAAAAAAAACAAAAAACTTACGTTCATCAGACATTAAAATATATCACTTGACATCTTTCATACTTTACCTAAACCTTTCAGTTAGTCTGAGGAATATTTATGAGCGTTTCTTAAACCTTTTTTGATAGCTACACAAAAGCTTTCAAATTTTTGTGTAACGATTTAAAATTTGTTTTTATTATAATCTCTTATAATAAAAATATAATAATAATATTATATTGCTCTACTTTGTATTGAGTACTATTTAAAAAGTAAATGCTATGAAATGTGGATTTTAACTCCATTTGTTCTTTCTTTTATGCATATATATATATATATATATATATTGATAACATTATTGGTAAATACACACATACATATGCAAAATATATAAATATATACATACATGCATACACATACATATATATTTTTTGAATAAAAAAATTCCAAGAGGATAGAATCCAGGTAGAACTCAATGTCCAGGACAAAGTAAGGATATACATCCTTAATGTATTAGACATCCGACAACATTCATATTTCTCTCACTTAAACCGTCTTTAACTCACCTCTCTAAAACTTCTCTCTGTTAAGTTTTCATCCCCCACCTTCTGTCGTCTGTTACCCCTCTCTTTAGCTCCAACATTCGTCCCACATACTCATACTTATACTCTCTCTAAATTCTATTTTTATTTCCGGAGTTGTTTTTTCTGTTTTCTTTTTGAATTTGTAGGTCTGATGAATTGGATCGTATTTACGATTTCAAGGGAATAAATAATGACCATGTAATATTAATGTTTAAGCCTTTTTTATTATATATATATATATATATATATATATATATATATATATATATATATATATATATATATATATATAGTAAAAACACACACACGCAATGCACAAAACGATACAAAAGACTGTCCAAATTCATACTTGTTCACGTACTTTCGACGATCACTAGACATTATCAAGAATATCAAATCCCTTGAAATTGATATTCGTTCCTCCTTATAATTCTACAACTCATATTTGAATAAATATGCATTCAATAAGTGTTGTCATGTAAAGAATGTTTCAACAGAAACTGTCACCACAGAAAGACGCAGATAATATTAAATATTTTATACACATTTAAAAATTTAGATACGAAAAATGTTTTCGTAAACGGACAAAATACAAACAAAATACTCAGTCAGACTTTATAAATTGGATTTAATAAATATTATTTTACATACATATATATATATATATATATATATATATATATATATATATATATATATATATAAATATTACACCGAAAACATGTCAAAATCGCTACACAGTTTATTAACCCAAGTACACTAACCATGCGTATAAAGGTCTCTGCTTAGTGGATGCTAACACGAGATCGAAAACACACCAGGTTGATTACATCAAAGGAAAATCTGATGTTGTTTTAGGCAGATCCAGCTGGTTTCTTTGAACATTTCCTAATCCAGGATGAGTTTTGGTTTCATCCCTTTGATCCAGTAATAAACAGATAATTCATGCAGTGAAAACACCCTTCCTCACGTTCTCCAAAGAAGGCCAAGGAATTCATTTCATCTGCAGAAATGGTGATGGCCTCGGCATTGTGTTTATTGACTATCTTCAAAAAGGTTGTGTCATCAATAGTAAGTACTATGACAACATAATGAGGCAGTTACAAAAAGCTATCAAGACAAAACACCCAGGAAAACTGACGAAAGGGTTGTTTCACCAAGACAATGCTCCAGCACACAAGTATGTAGCAATGTTTTCATTTGCTCCTAGGTATGCCATTGCTTAACACTAACCATGAGTATATAGAGTACCCAGCGCAAATTTTCCTATTTTTAATTACAATATTCAGTACCTGATTTTCTTACCTAAGTAATATGTTTTTCACTTCCTATTAATGTTAACTCAAAGTACACAGTTTGAAGTGCCTGCATGTAAAATATTTCAAATAAAGATATTTAATATTTTTTTTCAAAATCGGGTATGATATACCCATGGTTAGTAGTGGTGTAACTTTAATTGATGGTCAGTGTTCTAGGGTTAAATAACTTGTTCACTTGCCAGTAATTTACTATCGCCTTATGAGATGGATTGATATTCGCTGTAATATCGTAAAATCTACTATCTATATTTCTCATGTTGTCTGTCTGTGTGTCTGTCGTGGGCGTTGTTACCTCGCCCAGGCCGCATTTCTCACCCGATTTCGATGCGGTTTTCAACACAAGTTTGCAAATGGCTGCCGTAAGGACATGACGGAGCCCGATTTTTGAGTTCGGAATCAGGTTCCGAAAAAATCGATAATCGAAAAAATTCTGCTTACAGAAGGAATGATCGCATTTCAACCAAATTTGACACCCTCTTAGAGTCTACCATTAGAAGTGTTGTCCAGAAGTTTCATGACCACGGACCCCTAAACAGCGCGGAAAATCGATAAAACCCAAAAACCGATACGCCCAGATTTATAGAGAAAACCGAGCGGATTTATGAAGAGGCTATTGGGAGTCATCATGTGAAGTTTCAACACTGAGCACCCCCCAAACAGAGGGCAAATTGACAATCGGTCAACCCGTAAAAATGTTTTTTTCCGGTTTTTTAAAGCTGATCGTATTGTGTTTATTTTCTTTAGTTCTTTTTTCGTAACAGATTTAATGTTTACTATAGAGCTTAGAAAAAGTTGGCAGTGTGATATAGGCAAGAAGTAAGGCATGTGACAACATCAGCACGGCAAAGGGCACTCCTCTAAAGGCAAGGAAGGGCTAAAATATTTTAAGTCAAGTGATAGCGATTACTGTATTAGTCGTACTATTTTTGAATCAAGCACGGGCAACGCCGGGTCATACTGCTAGTTAATAATATTTCTCTATTTTGTATTGAGCTCTCTTTTAACTTAAATGTTACGAACGTTACAATTTACTCTATTCGTTCTCAATTTACCTTTATTTCATTATGTACAGGGTGCGATGGATAAATTCTCGTCTAAATTGGCCTACCCATAATGCACCACTTTAACAGCACACAGGGTTTCGATGGATGAATTGTCATCTAAAAGACACAAAAATGACGATAACAGTGACATCTCATTTTAACAGATATATTTACCCAAATATCTTGAAATACTAAAAATAAAATTTATTCAATAAAGTTGCCATTGTCTTCAACCACAGTTTTCAGGTGACATCTGAATCTCCTGCAACTCTTGTGGACGGTCTTCTTGTTTAAGTTGGTGAATGCTGCCATAATCCTTTCCTTCGGATCACCTTTGGTGTTACACGGAATTTTGTTGTTCTCCTGCTCAACTGCGCTCCACACATAATAATCAAGTGGTTTGTCATCTGGGGAGTAATGTTGCAAGATGTTGCAATGGGTAATGTAGTTGCAGAAATTGTCTGACATCCATGACTAGGTTCTTCTGTTTTTGTGGCATAATGCAGAGTCCTGTTCCCAGACCCAGGTGAGCACTAACTGCTCAAGGTATTTGATGTAGACCTTCGTGTTGACTCACCAACAAATGTCTAAATATAAAGCTTTCTCTTTCTACCTTCAGTAAATCCAAGTTCCTTCTTTGATGGAGTGGTCTACTTTCAAAGACAGGCTGTTTCATACACTTACCATTTGCTTTCTGAGTTGAAATCCCAATTTTCTTTTTCCTGTTTTCAAAATTTTGTTATTATTGTTCATCCATACAACTTGGGTAAAATTCTATGAGAAATCCAATGCCCTTTTCTCGAGGTCAAAAGTCTTGGCGCCAGGCAGTATCCAAATATCTATGTGAGCCAAACGATTTGATGTGGGTGTTGCCCAATTCAGCTTTGTGGGGTCAATAGCATTATTTACTGTCTTTACAAATCTCCATCGATTTCAGGTTGTGGTGGTGCTAATGTTCACAAATTGGATGACGGGAAAACTGCCTTCAAGTGTCAGCCGGGTCAGCAGGCGTATCAAGTTGTCTTTATTAGCAAATATTTCACTGATATGTTCCAATGTGCATTATCATGCAGTAGAACCAGTATCTATCTATCTATCTATCTATCTATCTATCTATCTATCTATCTATCTATCTATCTATCTTAGTCTCTTCGTGTCTATCTGTCTCTCTTTGTCCCTACATATCTATCTATCTATCTATCTATCTATCTCAGTATGTTCATATCTGTCTAATTTTCTTATCCATGTAGCTCAGACTTCATATCTATCTGTACATCTATCTGTTCATATCTATCTTCTTATCTATCTCAATGTGTTCATTATCTATCTATTTATCTATCTCAATGTGTTCCACATATATTTATCTATCCCAGTCTTATTGTAACCTATCTCTCTAACTTAGCTAGTTTTTCTTTATCCATATATCTATTTATCTAGCTAGCTAGCTATCTCGCAATCTAGCTAGCTAGCTCTCTCAATCTGCAAATTATCTATCTATCTATCTATCTATCTATCTATCTATCTATCTATCTATTTCAATTTCAATGTTTCCACATCTATTAGGTTGGTGCAAAAATAATGACGTAATAATGTCGTTTTTTGACGTATTTTTTAACGTCAAAAAACGACATTCTTACGTCATTATTTTTGCACCAACCTAATAATTATCTCTCTCAGTATTATTCTTATCTATATCTCTATCTCCGTATGTTTAGCTATACTTATCTATCTATCTATCTATCTATCTATCTATCTATCTATCTATCTATCTATCTATCTATCTCAGTCCTTTGCTTATCTATCCATCTATATATCTATCTAATGAAAAAACATAAGAAGAACCGGAAACCTACCCTAAATCTCTACAGACCGGAGAGGAACGTGAACCGGACGATAGGCGAACCTTCCAACTCCTGTTGTGGAAAAGAAGAGAAAGAAAAAAAGGAAATAAATATTTTGTAAATAAAACTTGAGAATTCAAACGAAGACAGCTGAGACATAGATTTGAAGTAGACTTTATAAGGGACCCGCAAATAACCCAATCCTAAACAAAAAAACAAAAACAAGCGATAAACCTTCACCCCCGTTCGAAAGAGCAGGGAGGACGTGAAACGGGCGATAAGCGAACCTATCTGATTTTATTGAGTAGGAAAAAATGATAGTGAATAAAATTTTAGAGAGAGACTTTAGAAGTATATTGTTGATGTAAACCTTTATCAGAAACCGGAAACCCAATCCTAAAATGCGTTTAGTTTGTTTTGTTTAACGTCATAGCAACTTTTTCATTTTATTTTACTATTAAAATCTATGACTGGAAATGTTTTTTTGCTATAGAAATGTATTTTAATATATTCATAGTGTTTTGACTTTAGTGTAAAAGGATGAGCCCGAAATGCAATTTACAGGTCGAGAACACTAAAATCAAGCAAACGCGGAAAATTAAATATCTGGGAGAGAGATTTGACAGGGAATAGCAAGTGCGACGCTGAGATCCGAAGACGTGTTGGGATGGCCAAATACGCATCCCAGAAGCTAGACAGAATATTACGATTCTGAAGGATCCCTTGTTACGAAAGTTCTGAGGTTCTACGTGACATCTGTCGTCCTTTACGTCAATGAATATTCAATGGTCTCCTCAAAGATGAAGAAGAGACTCGAGGCAACTCGAGTTATGGTTCTAGAAAAAGGATGCGAAGGATATCATGGACCGAGCGTGTGAGCAACAATGAGATGTTAGAGAGGCTGCAAACTAGGAGGAAGCTTGTACTTAACATCAGGAAGAGGCATCTGGAATTTCTGGGACAGGTAATTAGAAAGAAGGGCTTGGAGAATGTGATACTCACAGGTCGAATAGAAGGAAAGAGAGACAATGGAAAGCAAGCATTTCATACATAGCGGGGTTAAGCAAGTCGATGACAGGACATGGCTTGGGGGAAGTAGCAAAGGGACAAAACTTATTGAGAGCTACAAGGGATAGGAGGTAGTGGAGAGCCATGATTGTCTACGTCCCGAGAGGACACGGCACATAAAAATGAAAGGGTTTGGGGGTTCACTATTTGTCCGCAGTTAGGACCTTAACAGTTGCTACCACTCCAGGTAAGATCTGAAAACAACACAAATTAAGGGGTTCTAGAATGGAAAGAAAGCATAAATCTCTATACGTTACAAAAAATAAAAAAAATAAAAAAATTAGGGATGAATTATTATACTACTTGTATTCTCCCTTCCTGTTTGATTATAATGTTTATGTTCTTTTTGTATGCATTTTCCTCTAAAACATCACCATTGTTCACATGTTCAGTCCATGGTATTCACAGCATCCTTCAGTTTCACAGCATTTCTTCAAGTTTCTCTAGTTAACTAAAATATAAAAAATAAAAGCTCGAAAATGACGTGAAATCAGTTGTTAACTGAGACAAGAAATAGCTTGTAAATTTTAACGCTTCCAGAACGAAACGTCTATCTTTTAATTATCATAGAGAACCATTTTCGCTTCCATCTCTATGGCTGATGCTAGCCTCCATGACAGCAACTCATTGTGCCTTCTTCATCTCATTTATTCCAGTAACGTGAAGATCTGCTGCTAGGAAAGTTATATCACTTGTATTCTGCCTTCCTGTTTAATTTGTGTATGCTAAAACATTTCATAAGTGTTCATGGTCTTGTTATATTTCCCAGTGAGATTCTTTATTCTTTAAAGTTTTGCAATAATGAACAATTAAGCTAGATTCAATACTGATTAATTTATTCTTCATAAAACAGTTAACAAATCATGGACAGGGGAATAAGCAATGCTTTATGGTTCATTTTTTTTTCTTAACTGAAGATTGCAATCTAAACAAAATCCAAGGAAGGTTCTGTTATGTTATTGTTCCTGACCGGGTATCTCAACTTCAGTAAAGGCATATGTTATGGTCCAAGTTCCTTGTACCACGTACAAGTATCACTATTCCAATGTCCTTACAACATGCTCTCAATCATCTCTCCTCGTCTTACAATGTCCTGATACCTCTTGAGAGGCGCAGTATTTATAATCTCAGGAATAGTCCATTATTATTATGGGTAAGTTCCCATAAAAGAAATAGATAGATAGATAGATAGATAGATAGATAGATAGAAAGATAGATAGATAGATAGAAAGGAACAGACTGAAATAGATAGATAGATAGAAAGAAAGACTGAAATAGATAGATAGATAGATAGATAGATAGATAGATAGATAGAAAGGGACTGAGATAGAGATAGATAGATAGATAGGAACAAAGAAATAGATAGATAGATAGATAGATAGGAACAGACTGAAATAGATAGATAGATAGATAGATAGATAGATAGAAAGGGACTGACTGAAATAGATAGATAGATAGATAGATAGATAGATAGATAGATAGAAAGAAAGAAAGGAACAGACTGAGATAGATAGATAGATAGATAGATAGATAGATAGATAGATAGATAGATAGAAAGGAACAGACTTAGATAGATAGATAGATAGATAGATAGATAGATAGATAGATAGATAGATAGATAGATAGATAGATTGAAGCGTTGAGTGACGCAACCACGCGGGAACCTTTTTTCCATAAAGTTGCTGTTTAACTCCCTGTTATGGTCCAAGTTCCTTGTACCACGTGATGGTCCAAGGTTAGAACCAATAAAAGAATAAAACGAACACAGGTATGGAATACACAGATATATTACAACAGAAATATAATACAAAGAAGTAGAAGTATTAGTAATGACTATCAGATTTGGTTAGAGTGAATTATGTTGTCTCGACAAGTATCACTATTCCAATGTCCTTACGATATGTTCTCAATTATCTTTCCTCGTCTTATAATCTCCTCATAGCTCTTGAGAGGCGCAGTATTTATAATGTCAGGAATAGTCCATTATTATTATGGGTAAGTTCCCATAACAGCATATAAATTTTTATACCTCCAAAACGAAAATGCAACCCTATGATCATCATGCGCCTTCATTGTCTCACTTTTTTCTCTTGACATCAAATAGAGCGATTATATTGAATCCATTGTTAGGTCTGCTGCTAAGAAAGTTGGGTCACTGTGTCGGAGGAGACAATTTTTCTCGTCAGAATCTATTTTGAACATTGATCGATCTACCATTCGTCCGTGTACTGAATATCACTGCCATATGTGGTTTGATTACCCCGGCTATATATATATATATATATATCGAGATTCTCGACAAAATAAAAAGAAGTGTCCCTATATGCCATCTGGAATTCAGTCAGTTTCCCAGCGCCGTGAATCCGCTTTGCTGATTTGCCTGATTTTGTTTTAGCGCCATGTCAACCTCTATTGTTTATTTAATGCCGAAATCTAAATATTTGAATTGGTTTGATTGGTTTCGTTTATCGCTATAACAACCTCTATGGGCGAGCTAATCCCGAAATCTAAATATTTGGATGGATTTGGTGAGGTTCATTTTGTTTCCCATCTTTACCTTGTCGAACTGATCAGCCTTACTTTCTAAACGGTAGTAAATGGTTGTATCATCAGTGTAGATACTATTTATATCAATCTACTATTCGTCAATGTATTCAATATTGCTGCCATATCTGGTTTGATTACCCCGGCTATATATATCGAGATTCGCGACAAAATACAAAGAAGTGTCCCTATATGTGTTATGGGGTCCACCCCTTTTTCATATAAGTGGACTCAACCAAAGTGTCACTTGGACTGCTGCCGTTAAATACCCGCAGTCAGTCAGAGAGTGAGTACGGATATTAAGAAGACGGAGATTGTGATTGAGTTGGAGGTAGAGTAATAGTGTGAGGTAACCGCTTGTAGAACTCAGTTACAAGCACATAGACTCTAAGGAGTCATACTTCGTGACTGTCATATATATATATATATATATATATATATATATATATATATATATATATATATATATATTTATATTATAATTGCTACTAACCGCGTTTCTGGATTTACTAACAGAATTACCCTTTGTGTTACTGTGTAAATACATTTTATTTCTTATAGTTAATTCTTGCGTTTGTCATTCAGTGGAGACCGAATTTCATCTCGGAATCCACAACAATATGCCATCTGGACATCAATCAGTTTCCCACCGCCGTGAAGCCACCTCGCTGATTTGCCTGGTTTTGTTTTACCACCATATTATCCTCTGGGTTATTTAATGCCGAAACCTAAATATTTTGCATGTAATTTTATGCTTTCAACTACTTTTTATTTTGTACATAATGTTATGTGACATTATCTTGGGTTGAAATCATTAAAACAATACAAAGTAATCGGTAATCAATAAATGGGGGATTAAAACAGATTCTTGTCTTGCGTTTTATTGCAAAACGTTGTACAATTGAATGAATGATGTAAGAATATGTAACATGAAACAAAAAGCTGATCAGTGATAAGCATATCGATAGACTGGATGGAACATTTAAATTTCAAGCTGATCGTCCCTGTATCTTTAACGTTTCGATGTTAACTGTTACCAGTGTGTTATTTCTCCCCAATCTTCTACCCAATATATATATATATATATATATATATATATATATATATATATATATATATATATATATATATATATATAAGTGAACATTGAAGTCAACAATTAGACTGTTTCATGCTAGATGCCATCGTAAGATCATGAGTGTTGTTTTTTTTCGTCTTTTTATATATACGGGTCCTGTATATATAAATACCCAAGAAAAAGACAACACTCGTGGCCTGACGATTGCGTCTATCATGAAACAGCCTGTCACCTCTAAGCGTTGACTTCAATATTCACTTTTTATATTTACACAGGCTCTATCTCTGATAT